CCTGTAATAACACAAGATGTGATATGGACCCTAGATTTTCCTGTAATAACACAAGATGTGATATGGACCCTAGATATACCTGTAATAACACAAGATGTGATATGGACCCTAGATATACCTGTAATAACACAAGATGTGATATGGACCCTAGATATACCTGTAATAACACAAGATGTTATATGGACGGTTGCTCCGTTCTTAATATCCGTATATAACTCTCCTCTAGACGTAGCCTGCGGTTGACGTCGTGTATACTCGTTGCCATGCCAATAACGATGACGTCACTGGTATTGTGATAACACAAGAGGCTACGTCTAGAGGAGAGTTATATACGGATATGTAAGAACGGAGCAACCGTGAAGGGCTTAACATAATAACGTAACAATGTGAAGACGAAGACACACCAAGGAAAACCTCGGAATCCGGGTGGAAGCCCTAGATATACCTGTAATTTTATGCGGACAAAGCTATGCCAGCATCAAGAGCCTGAGGAGGCACGTAAACGTTAATAACACAAGATGTGACTCTTCCACAAAGATGGTATAAATGTAAGATCTGCAAAAGATCTTATGGAAGAAACTGTAATAACACAAGACATCAGAAATCGGAACATCCCATGTACAAGGTTGAACCAGAAATAATACAAGACAATACTAGGGAGGAGGCGAAAGCACCATCCAACAAGAGACCATTTGAGAGTCTACTAAGTGTAATAGATTTACAAAGTTCACAAGGGTTGTCCCGGGACGGCAGATTATCGGCGGAGGACCACCCTAGATATACCTGTAATAACCGGTACTGGACCAGGCAATTGAGCAGTTGAAGGAGGACCTCGCCCTAGATACGACTCTGTAATAAGCATCAGGATCCATGGCCAATACCTCAGAAAGCGAATATATGGGAGAGAAGAGAGATTATAAACAATATAATTATGTTATGGCATCTACATCCACACTGTGTTTAGATGAACACTGATAGGATTATAGTGAAGAATTGACTCATTAACCTACTAACCGTGATGGAGATAGTGTAATTTATAACTGATAACATGTAGAATCTTTAAGTATAACACAAGATGTACAGGACGTACAGTAATTCTTGTTACATAGAGCTAGCATCATATACTACAGTGAACGGACTTTGAATTGTTACGTCACAATAACACATGTACTATTTATAAATTTGAGGGAGCCGCATTTCATGTATACTGTAATAGGGGGTTAAGAAAATTCATGTTGTCGTCCTGAAGAAGCCCGGGAGGGCGAAACCGGTAGACGGTATAATAAACCCTATAAACCATCACTCCACAGTCTGTTGTGATTGATTCTTATTGTCTATTGTGTAATAACACAAGATGTGATATGGACCCTAGATACACCTGTTATAACACAAGATGTGATATGGACCCTAGATACACCTGTAATAACACAAGATGTGATATGGACCCTAGATTTTCCTGTAATAACACAAGATGTGATATGGACCCTAGATATACCTGTAATAACACAAGATGTGATATGGACCCTAGATATACCTGTAATAACACAAGATGTGATATGGACCCTAGATATACCTGTAATAACACAAGATGTGATATGGACCCTAGATATACCTGTAATAACACAAGATGTGATATGGACCCTAGAGATACCTGTAATAACACAAGATGTGATATGGACCCTAGATATACCTGTAATAACACAAGATGTTATATGGACCTTAGATTTTCCTGTAATAACACAAGATGTGATATGGACCCTAGATATACCTGTAATAACACAAGATGTGATATGGACCCTAGATATACCTGTAATAACACAAGATGTGATATGGACCCTAGATATACCTGTAATAACACAAGATGTGATATGGACCCTAGATACACCTGTAATAACACAAGATGTGATATGGACCCTAGATATACCTGTAATAACACAAGATGTGATATGGACCCTAGATATACATACAATAACATGAGATGTGTTGTACATGGAACATGTACAAGATACAAACGCAGGAACACTGACTAACGCCTTTTAAAAAACTGTTACTTTTGATGAAGAAGAATGTTCAACAATCAATTTACACACAATTGGGCTTAATTTAAGATTCAATAAATTTCAGTAAAAGAGAATAATTGATTCATCATATGACCAATATACTGAAAGTGAGTGTACTAACAGATCAGCTTTTTATTTCCGAAAAAATTAAGAAATCGTCCACGTCATATATCACCATTTCTCAATATTACAAAATATTGAATAACAAATGTTACCACAATCATATAATGATTCAGTGATTGAAACCCTTTTTACCGATATATTAATAAACAGTTTTCTTCTCTATTTGCCAAAAATCTTGTTGAACTTGTTCAAAACAAATGAAATCACTTACAAAATCCCGCCCAACAGAACATGAGAGGTGAAATGTGGGTCACAGGCAAAACGGACAACTGGACAGAGATCTACACTGCTGATAAATACTACATTTTTGATATATGTCTAGTAACAGACAGTCTTCATAACACACGAAGCTGATGTCAGCTTTTCACTGCAAGTCAAAATCATTTTTTTTCAGGTTTATATAATATATTAAGTTAGATATGGAATTCTCTTCTATCACATATCTATCATCATTTAAGTATGTGACTGTAAAACAATTCATCAAATCAAATTCAAATACATTAGAGATATATATATATATATATATAGTACAACGGTACACAAATGTATCAAAAAGTATGAAATAATTATCAATTACATATATATATATATATAGTGTTTAAACTTATACTTGTTACAGTTTGTAACTTAAGTAACGAAAAACTTTTTGAAATCTTACAACAACAAAGTACATGTTTACATCATGTAACAAAAATTTTAAAAAATATAAATAATGAACTAAATTTCAACAAACAGAAGAAATGACAGATCAGAAGAAAATATAACCTCTGGATCTACAACCACCTAATAAATTCTTATTTTCTGCACCTTATACTATCTGACAGGAGCTTTTGTTCATACATCTCCCAGGACCTCTTTTCGTGTTTTTCTGGGGCGGACAGTGACCCCATTTCAAACTAATATTGTTTGATATTCAAGAAAAAATTCCCCAAATTTTCAATTTGTTAATGAAAATATTTCCTTCCCAATTCACCAACTGTCTTCCAAAAACAAGGCAAAACTGCCCCATCCCAAACCAGTAGAAAAACAGTCCTGTCTTCAGAACTGAAATGTTTAGCAATACATTGAAGTATTTGGGGGGAAAAAAGTAGAAAATTCTAAAAAAAAAAAAAAAAAAAAACTGCAAAAACCTCAATATAACAGCAAGACAAACTAATATCTTACAACTATGAGAAATATTTTATAAAATGTAAATTTTCCAGCTTTTAGCTGTACAGTGAGATTAACATTTCAATAGACAATGATGAAGGAATTCTCTGGGAGAAATTTAACTATGATTTATTCTCTAATATTGAGCAGGAAATAAAGGCTTTTAAGAGGCAAAGATTGATAAGTATTAATTATCAAGGGCAACAAATGGTATGAAGCATCAGAATTCAATGATTCAAATGAGTAAGGGCAATCACAGAAGATGGAAAATTGGGCCACTGGAACTATTAGCAAGTCCTAGGACAATCGTATTAGTCAGGCCTCGAATTTAAGTCTTTTTACTGGCTATTTGCAAGTAGAAATCCAAGAATTGCAAGCAGAAAAAAATAATGACTTGCTTTTTTCAGAAAGTGGATTCATCAGATGCAAACTGTGAGTGTCTGTGTATTACTAACATTTCACAGAATTAAATTGTTTTGAGTTTTGATTTTCAAAGTGTAGATATTGGGACAAAGCAGTTCTTCTATAATGTTGATATATATTGGATGAAGCAAGGTAATACATTATAAATCACAAAACAAAACACATTATTTGAGCATGGAGATTTGCGATAATAGCACGTAAAAAGTCATTTTAGCAAGTACAAATTTAAGGCACTTGCTGTTTTCAGCAAGTGACAAAAAATGTTAAATTAGAGGCCTATTAGTTAGAGGAATGGTTCTGAAGATTAAATGGGACCCCAAGCAATGATTTTTGATCAAGGAGGAAATCACAGGAAACGCTAGCTAATATCACTGAAATTGGGATTAGGATCCACTCCAAAAGTCAAGGTCTATTGTTCTAAAAGTTAGACTAGCTGAACCTGCAAGAGAAATGCCTGGCACAGATTGAAACCACAGCTAGTAGCTGATCATGAACAGATTCAATGAGATTACAATGTGTAACTACCAGTATAGAGACTTCTCCACTAGTTATACAGGCAGTGAGAGATATATACTAGATGTAGCTGGAATCCCTGGATCTACTAGATAGGGGCAGCTATATGTATATAAGGAGATTCAAGGAGATCACAAGGTTAAAAACAGGCCTACAAGAGGTAGTCTTATATATAGGAGCCACAACCATGGGAGATCTGAAGGTGACAAACAGACCCACAAGGATTACTCTTACAGACCAGTATGGACTATGGAGAGTCCTAGGGACCAAACTGTCACCAGTATGGACTATGGAGAGTCCTAGGGACCAAACTGTCACCAGTATGGACTATGGAGAGTCCTTGGGATCAAACTTTCATCAGTATGGACTTTGGAGCATCCTAAGAAATCAAAATGCGACATCAACTGTCATTGACCATTAGATCTAAGGGAAGCCACAGCAATAGCTGGGAGAGACAGATATACCTGGTATGTATACAGAGCACTGACCAGGGCCATATAGGGACCACAACATGATACTGGAATGTAATAAATTTGGGTAGAAACCACATGAACCACTAAGTGGAGCCATCATTAGAACAGTATAAATTGTTCAGTACATATTATCATGATATACTGATATACTATATAGATATGTCTGTAAGATATAAAAATATGAAGCAACCAACAATATACATATGTACTATATACCTATATATATATATGTGTAATATAAACTTTGATATAGTTTATATCACACATAAGTCATCTTGATTGACTTGACAACCTCTGTCTGCTGCTGAGTGTCAATGTCAGTGGACACGGAGATCACAGAAATCGTCTGTGTACCCATCTCTCCTGTCCCACAAAACTCTTTCATTGACTGGACACCAGACTTGACCTGCTCAACCCCTAGCACCATACCAGCCTTGACCTTTGTGGCGGCCTGACTTCCTGTGTCCCTGATTGTCATGATATATTGAGACCCAGACTCCTTTATGCTGTGCACATGACAGCGCACTTTCTCCATTTTTCTTTCAAGTTGAATCTTGACTTCATCCAAAGTACCTGAAATATTTTGCCATCTTTCTTTTGAATCTGTAGTTGGAGTAGTGCATTTCTGGGGTGACGATCTCGGAGTTTGACCCCAGCTGATCGGTGATTTAGAACCATCATATTCATCATCAGATTTGTAATGACTAGGTTCATAATCATCCAACATGGATGACGCAGCAGATATATACTCCTCAGAAACATTCTCTTTCTTGCATTCTTCTGAAGAATTTCCACAACAACAGCAGCGACAGCATCTACAGGAAAATTTCTTACAGCATGACCGACATGTCTTTATAATACCAACAAAGATAGCAATTATTAGCATCAATCCAGAGGCAGCAGCACCATAAATAAGACTCTCATAAAACACAGGCCAGATGACGCTAATTACTCCCACGGAAATCGTAACATTGGTCTGACCACCGTGGTTGACTGCAAAACATGTGTAATTTCCAGCAAAACTACCGTGGATGTTTTCGATGTACAACCCTCCGTCAGCTTCTGCACGAATGACAGTATTTCTGTCAATACATTCCACTGGCCACACATACTCTTGTATAGCTTTCACTGAAGAAACATTCAACTGTTCCCAATCTAGTCTAACATTTGGATGTGCGAAGACCTTACCCCACACATTTTTCCAGTAAACTTGGGCATGAGGAAATACACTTGTACCACAGGCCAAATACACATTATTTCGGGCAATGAAATTCTGACTGCGTGAAACCTGTGAGATATTTGGTGGTAGACAAGGAAGGTCTGAGATCGGAACTTCTAGTAACGACTTGTGTTTAACACTTTTGGGAACTGAGCAGAGAACTGGTTCATCATTTGCGAACTTCTGTGTATTGGATTGCATATAGCTTATTAGTGATTCCAACATACATGAACATTCCCATTCATTTCCAGAAAGAAACAATGAATGAATGGATGGCAAAGCCTTTACTGTGTCAAACGTCATTCCCACAAGTCTATTATTGTTCAATTTCAAAGTTTTCAGTTTTAACAGACTTTTGAAGATGGAATCATGGATATGAACCAAATCGTTGTAACTCAAATCCAGATATGCCAGGTTATGAAGCCCATCAAATACATGGTTAGTTAACGAAGCCAGCCGGTTATGACTCAAATCTAGCTTCTTCAAGAGCTTCTGTTTTCCAAATGTTTGAGAATCTATCTGGCAAATTGCATTCCTACTAAGGTTGAGAACCTTTAACTTTTCTGAGTAATAAAAATGTTCATCCTGAAGAAGGCTGAGATAATTCTGACTCAGATCCATCTCAACAATATTTGGTAAATCCACCCAGCTTTCACAGGACAGAGACACTAAGAAACTATTGGTTAACTTCAGCGTTTGAAGCGAAATTTGTCCTTGAAATTCCACAGGAAGACAAGAATAGTTGCCAAACAAATCAAGGTGTACTAATGACAAATTCTGAACATTAACGTCGGCTAAATAAGACACACCATGTTCTAGAGTACAGTTAGCATACAAAGAGTCAAGGTCACAGAGACAGAAGGTCGGACAGGAAGGGATGAGGACTGACTTCTGTATATCAGGTTGCAGATCCGATGGCAGGAATGTAGCTTGAATCGCTACCAGTCTCATCACTACCAGGAAAAGCATTGTTGCTTCATGGACGTATCGCGAAAGGTTCTTTGAAGTAATACCCATCTTGCAACACTTCTTCACCTGGAAATTAGAAACAATTACATTATATGTTAATGAAGTCGGACAGAACATTTGTATTTTCGATAAGTGGCAAAACCAGACTGTGCCTTTTTCTATAATCTTTTTACCGTCTCGTAAATTTTTTTCTAATCTTATAAAATGTACATATGATTTATAACATAGTTAAAAAAAAATTCCTTATCGTCTTGTACACTAAATATGTCAGTGCTTGTACACTTCACACGAGTCATTTATCTGATGAAAGTGACCGTAGGTACACCGTGAAGTCATCGAAACGTCATCCTCAAATCTTTACTGATGGTGTTACAAGAAATTCTGTTCATTTAATATATTGACATTGCCAACCTGAAGCAAATGTTCCGAAATACTCGTGATGAACTTTTAAAAGGTCATACATCTTTAAAACAGCTATATGTAATCATAGACATAGCAGTTGTGTTAAGGTATATTATAAACTGTGTGAATAGCTGATATCTCTGACAAATTCTTCCTGAAACAATGGCAACAAAGAAATTTTTCAACATGCCCTTGTTTGTAACATTTTAACACCAAAACCACATTTCCGAAACTCATTGTTTGCCTAACAAAAGTGAAAGGTTGTTGATAATGACAGGTGGAATTATATATAAATTATATTGAACATCTGAAGATAAATTGACTACAGGCTGTTTACATTTTGACTTCAAGTTCATCGATGTGATGGGCTACGAAGAGGTGGACAACATATGAGTATTTCAACAAGAGCTTTCGTCACTTACCCTTCAGAATTATAGTCATGTGTTGTTATTGAAGACACATCCTTCAAGAAGAGGAAGCGTCTTTCATTTCACGATTTTTTTCACAGCAATATTTCCGGGACAAGGAATTCCACAAACTTCCGGTGTATGCGTATACCCAGAGTTATCTTTCCTTGCACAAGTATAAAGAACGACAATTCCATCTGCCAGTAACATCGACCTGCATAAATGATATAGTGTTAATCGTATCAAAAGTCATTAATGAAAACAAGCCTCGGAATTTTGAAATATTTTCAGGGAAATTTATTTTACAGGGAAATATTATTTTCATATCCTAAAAATATTTGCATTTTTAGTTCAAGTTATTAATTAGTTAATCACAAATAATTATAAACATCCGTTCAACTGTCCTCATTTTACCCAGCTGGCTGTTGGTGATTTCCTAGACACGTGACCCCATTCCATCCTGGCTGTTGGTGATTTCCTTGACACCTTTCCTCGTTTGACCTTTGCTGTTGGTGTTCCTTAGACACCTGTCCCTATTTGACCCTGTTGGTGTTTCCTTAGACACCTGTTCTCATCTTACCCTGTCCGTTGGTGCTTCTCTCTACACTTCTCCTCATTTGACACCTGCTGGTATCCCCCTATACACTGCAAATATTCATATTACGGTAAATGTTAATATTTTTGAAGGCTTCTATTTTTTAATGAAGTAAAGCTAATGAAAAACTGATGTGGTGAAAATAAAAATTACTAAAAAAAATAGTTAATTTCATGACATCCGCAAAAAAGTGCAGCATCAAGTATATATATCGTTTTTGATGACACCTCGAGAATTGTCGAAAGAAAACAATGATGTGACATTTCCCTGCCAATAAAAGGCTGGGTTGGTTGTATTAGAAAGGCTTTTATAAAAAAAAAAATCGATATTTTGGAAGAAGTATTGTAAATGTTTCGTCTTAGAAATATCTTAAATAACTTGATGAAACACCAGATCGACATTACTTCTTGAAGATTGTAACTAAGACACAAAAGTGAACAGTATATTTCAATAAAAAGCCAAATAATGAATTAAACTACATCATAGAAATGTTTCGTCCTTCTAGGACTCGTCAGTGATGTTAAGGAGCTAATTGTAATGTAATTAAACATAGGAGGTGACGGAAGAAAATTAAAACTGATTAAAAGAAAATGGCAAAATCTAGATGTTTTACTGATTGTAGATAGTTACCATATGATATCGATTTTGGCGAGGACACGGAATTGAACCTGTTTAATGGATTTCAAAATTTCACAAGAATCATTGTAACTTTGTATTGCTATTGTAGTTCGATTTAATCCTCGCTAGCATTCTAGTTATTATAAGATGTAACAATACCGTACTCTCTGTTAAACCTGACTGAATGGCTTTGTGAGCGGTAAATCGTTTGTATGGAGGACAAGCTAAACAAGCATTCCCTGCTTCTGACGTTTAGGATTTCGGTATAAGATGGAACACTGTGGACCCATTTCCTTTTTACCAGCAGGCTTTCTGACAGGTTGGTATTAAGGATATTCTTTCATTTATCATAAATCTGTTAAAAGAACGGTTTTTGTAAGTGTCGACAACATTTCGGATATCATATGTTCTTTCATACCTTAACAGTTTTTTTTTCATCTAATGGAAAAGAATATATGGTATTTTCACGCACAATATGTAGCTTTATAATTATCACAAAAGAAAGTTTTCAACTGACACCCTGATGATAAAACTTCCCGATCTCTTTCATAATCCTACATCTCAGGAAACCCTACATCTGTCATATGTTGACATCTCTCGCTACAACCGTGATACAGAGAACAAAACTCTTGAATGTCGAATCTGCTGTGTCATATCAATACCATCGACTGGGGAAGCAGAATGTACAGTCATTATACAGCTTAGTGGAAAACTGTCAATGTTGGTTTCGTGCTCAGAAAATGTATATATAACGTTCTTGTCCATGTTATGACATCACAATCCTTTTTGACCGGCGCATTAAATGAAAAACGTTCGAGTTTGGGTATATTACATGGACGAATTCACCGGATAACAGGCCGATAATGTGATAAGCACATACAGTCAATCCTTGTTATCTCGAACTAGATGGGACCATGGGAAAATTTCGAGATAACCGAAGTTTCGATTTGAGAGAGATAAAATCTTTTGTATGAAGTTAGGAAGGGGCCGACGAAATGCTTCGAATTAAACAGGGTTTTCGAGATAACGATTTCGAGTTAACGAGGTTTGCATATCAAAGAATCTACATTTCAAATCTGCAAAAATACAGAACGCGTATCTGTCATTATAGTCACTATATTTCGCAATATGCGGGGGATCCCTCTGGTATGCCAACATCTATAGAATTACATTTAAATTGTAATCCTAAACTTTGCGTAAGATAAACGCACGTACGTACGCTCGCACATACGTTTGTTTTATCGCACCGTGGACAGTCAGAGACGGGACCTCACTGAACAACATACCATGAAATCCTATCGCATGTCATCTGGTGCAGTTTGAGAAAAAAATGTTTTGCAAAAGGAAAATACCACGTCAACAGACACGCCCATTCGTCAGCTTCCATGGAATCACAAATTGCCACGGATAAGTGGATTCGAATCACGCACCTCCACCTGAGGTTTCGTGTAACCCGACGGAGTTATCGCGTCCCCACGCACGTACATGCAGTACAGCCTGATAGAAACAACAGTTTTTTTTAGTATTTATCTAAATCTGAAGATAAGCACAATACACATGCTGTGGTAACTCACCTAGAAAGATCAATTATAGTTGATAACGATCCTTCCTAGCAGTTCAAACGCCAGACGAATACCACGAAACATATTAATTATGAGTTTATACGATATATATGTGTTTTTCGATATGATTTACCATACCTAGACTTGGTATAATGCCACATTATCTTACTGCATTTCTAGGTCAAATCTTTATCAGTTATCTCGATACAACCCTGTATAATGTACCTTTAAACAATTACTTTAATTATGACGACTTTGCTCGGCTTGTTTAAATATATGTGTGTATATAAGGTAGCTGATCGTATCTCACGCGCGTTTGTTCTTCGTGTAATTGAATCAGTTCGGATAGTTCGTTATACACTACCATGTAAGCGAAGTACGATTAACCACATTTCGAAAGAACAACTTTATTTCGGTGTTGAACTTGTAAATTGCTGTGGAATTTACATAAATTTTCATATCAGTGTGTGAAGATATGGGTATCAGGCAAATTAATATGGTTGATTTAAATCATAAAACATTTGTTAGGTGCGTGGTTTTATCATATCGATAAAAACAAATTTTGGATATCCCGACAGTGACGTGATACAAGGATAATCATGGGATGCGGACAAAGCGTCGTTACCATAGAGATACACGTGAAGAGAGGTCAGATGGCGCCTGTTAAAGGATCGGTAGGTACCCCTATAATATATTTTTAGAAAGGCTGACGTAATTATACACGAATTTACATCCCTTATATAATATAACGAAAAAACCCAAACAGCCAGCAAAAAATATTTACCGTCTGTACTTGATAACAAAAACAAGGTACAGTTTGTTAAATGGCATTTGGTCACCGAGTTCGTGAAAATTTTTTAACCTTTTTCTTTCTGTTGAATATCTTTCATTTGTCTGATATAGATAGTAAGATTCCACTATGAACAGCTATCATGGCAAGCTAGTTAGACTTGTAAATAAACCACAAAGACTCAATATGAATTGAAATTGGCCGTTTTTATTGAATGTACATCATATACTAAATTTCAAGTTCTTGTTAACAATGTTATGAAAAAAACATTTAACAAGTCTAAGATTGGGGTCTGAAAACGCCAGAGATAACTTTCCCTAGGTGCAACCTATGGGTAAGGAATCTCTCCCCCATTAGTATATATATGTAAGGGAGGTTTCGGCACTAGTAATGCATCGCTAACGTATTAGCTTCTCGCTTAATGTTAACTTTGGGAGTTGGATATTCGCTTCCTCATAACAACAGAAAAACTTCAAACGGAGATAAAGGCAAATGAGCTGAATTTCGATGTATTGCTCATTTTAGAAATACTTTAATTGTTCAATAAAAATGTTCTTTGTTCGAAATGTTGGCTTCTTGATGGAAACCCAAGTTGTTCGCAGGTTCGTTAAGGTTCGTGAAAAAATAAATAGATGCCATTGAACAAACCGATGTTTAAAGAAAAGCTAACATTTAAAATAATTCAATCTTAACTGTTTCAACAAATCCACAGCTGAGAAATGATGAAGAATGTTCCAAAATATCGTTTAAGTTTTAGATTTCCATTATCTTTTGTCGCTGCACTCCTTTTTCCGCTGAAGGCGTCAGATTATGTGTTATATGAAATACTCATTTTGCTTTATTCCGGGCGGTCTTTGTTTCCGGCAAATATATATTTTTTTCAAATACACTTGAGTAATGCTTTGCTAATAATGATAATAAAGAACATCTTTTAATATTTGATATAACAGGCTCACATCTACATTGCAAATAAACAGTAAATTTTGACAAAAATGCTTAAATCCTATATTTGAGATTTATTTTGAAATTTAATTAGTAATACTTTATGCTTTGATAAAAACATGTTTGGGATCTCATTTTCGTTTACAAAGATGGGGATCATTGTGCTTTATTGTTTTGAAATTTTAGTCCCCATACATATAAAGTGGTTAAGATGTGTATATTATGTGTTTATATTGCTCCAAGATGAACCTCAGCTCCCGAAGCGTATGTTTGGTACATATAAAGTGGTTAAGAAGTGTATATTATGTGTTTATATTGCTCCAGGACGGACCTCAGCTCCCGAAGCGTATGTTTGGTACATATAAAGTGGACAAGAAGTGTACCTACCAAGAGTCACATCACATGTATGTCTATGACCCAAGAGTCCTCAAGGTCGTTCCGCCACCTCACGTTCCACACACAAGAAAAAACGAGATTTTCGAACTTGAACGTTTCGCATTACTGGACAAAAGGGCATTAAATGTAAGTCAAGACAGTTGAGAAATAACAATTCATAATTACTTTAAAAGTTGTCAATAAATATATAAATAAATTTGAGCGGGAGTTCTTTTTCCTAAATTTGTTTAATAAAAGTGAAATTTAAAAGTGAACTGTAAAAAAAATTTAAATGTTCCGTGGAATTTATGATTATTAGTTATTTTTCGAGTGGTTCTTCTTTCTGTTTTCGAAGATGGCAACATTGCGAACAACATTGCCTTGCAGATGTCTTTTAATGGAGAAAACCTTACTCTTTCGAGCGCCTTTAAAATAATCCTCTTTTTTGTTTCAAGCTTTCGGCAAAACAGTTCAGTTTTTGTACGAAAGCAAGCTAGAAATAAAAATAGTTACTTCTAAAATTGAAATCTACAGGTGTCTCACGCCAAGAAACGTGGCATGCTGGAGGATCTTGTGGAATGGTTAGTGAAACCGTGCAAGGGGCATGAATTGGCCAAATTGAGAGTGCTATATCGCTGGCTGACGTCATGGGACATCAAAAAGTTCAAACCACCTCTGGCACGGATAGACAAGGGATCTGTCTTGTGGTATATTCTGAGGCTACAGAACAAACAGGAAAATTACGCTTCCATGATGTGTTATCTCTGTAGGTAGGTACTATTTTCAGCTCTTACATTTTTTTCTTGAGGTTTTTAAGTTGTATCAGTTGTCCTACCATGAACCCCCGTATGGGACGTCCCCTCCACTCCAGAAATTAAAACTAACATCACATTCTCCCGGATATATCACAATGTACAAAATCTCCAAGGCACATAAATATATATAGTTTTTCTTACACGCCAAGAAAGGCAGAGATCACAGTCTGTCATTACAGCATTACTCTCAAACCTGTTAATTCATACAAAGGATGACGGTAACATTTGATAATACTTTTTCTCATTTATTTTCCATAGCTATGCAGGGCTTGTATGTATGGTTATCCATGGGTTCATGAAAGGGAGTACTTACAAAATTGGACAGAGTGTTGCCTCAAACAAGATCAACATGTACGGAGAGTGGAACGCGGTCTTGATTGATAATGTCTGGCGTCACGTCAACGCCTACTGGGGCGCATGCGCCGTGATGGGCGATGACGATGAAGCGACTACTTTTCATTTGGACGAGACCTTCTTCATCCCTGATCCGGAAAATTTAGCTTATACCCATTTCCCAGACGAGCCCAAATGGCAACTTTTAGACAGACAAATGTCAATGAAGGACTTCGAAAAAAGGGCTTTTGTAAAAGAGCGTTTCTTCGAGCTCGAGATGCGGATTTTATCACATCCAGAATGTGAGATAATGTGTCATGATGATCTTGAAATTCTGTTTGGAATTGCACCAAGCAAAAGAAATCAGATAGCACTGAAATGTATACTGTCGGTAGAAAACGATGAAGAGGACTGGGTCCCCGTCGAAAATGACAAATTTCAACATGACTATGCACATGTACACAATGCGAACTCTGTTGCAGTGCAGATGCGTTTCCCTGACACAGGAACCTACAGATTAGAAATACTTGGGAAGGACCTCTTGCGAGAACGCTCGGAAGAGAAGTACATTTATGACTGGTTGGTGGTGTATAAGATATACGTTAAAAAGATAGGCAAAAACACGGCTTTTCCGAAATGTGATGAATCGGCTCTGTGGGGTCCAAATATTCTAATGGAGGAGGCAGGCCTTGTACCTATAGATCATCAGTTCGCGACCCTTAATGCTGATGGAGGCTACCTTGATCTTCCCATCAAATTCGAAGACGGCGATGTTGCCGAATCGGAAATATTTTACAAGATGACGACGTTGCAGGCAAATCTGGACGACGTGGAATTTTCTCAGAAAGGAATTATGAAGGAAGATCAGAAGTTCATCATTTTCAATGACAAACCACCTGCCAATGAATACGGCCTGTGTATTTACATAGAGGAGGAGGAAGATCCCTTAGAGTTACCTCCCCTGAGGCCGGGAGAGATCCGTCTGCCAATGATGGTGAAAAAAAACGTATGTAACTACATGGTGAGGTGTACCTCGTTATCCAAAGATTCCAAGTTCAGAGAGATCGACAATGCAAGGAAAGGTAAATCAGTACTATGTTTGAATCGCAAGGTCATTTATATACACGTGCTAAAATATCGGGAAAATGTCCTTCACTTAATTCTATATGTACACGCTGATGGCCATGAAAAAACTTCGGATTTGGCTAAATCGTTTATCCCCTTTTTCAGCAATCACAGATGCCAATAAAGAAAAACGCCTCGCCAACTTAGAACGGATTATTGATCTGATTGAGACGAAGGATTTTGAACGTTATATGGCACCGGAAACCAAATTTGGGCGGGAACTGGTCCAGCGCCTGCGCAAACTGCAGAGTAAACTTCACGAGATCATGATACTCGACACAGAGACCATAATGAAACTACGTGACCTTGTGAACCCTCCACCGGAAGTGTTTGCTGTAATGAAGTCCTTACTGCTATTTTTGGGTCATTTTGACGAAGAACTAAGAGTGAGATTATGTTGTTTTGTTTCGTATCTTGTTTTAAGTTGTTTAACCGTTTTATCAATTTGTTTCATTTACTAATGATTATAATTAATCAAATAAAATTTGAAAGCACAGTTTCCCGATCGCAAAGTGAGCTTACTCACGACAAAAAGAGAAGTGTCATGGCGTGGCGTGGCGATTTATTTGTGACGTCATAGTCACAATACAGATATCCCCACAAATTATAAATAACTCGAATATTTTATCAAAACATTATATTAAGGCAAGTATACCTCATTAATTAAGTCGTATAAACAAATGAAAATATTTAATGAATATTGTTTAGCAATGGAACGACGTTCGGAAGATAGTTGGCCGCTCAGCAAAACTGGCGTTGAAAAGACGTATTGGGGAGTTCGATATCAATGACTTGGATCTCGACATAGCCCTTGGTGCCAAGAAATTGTTAGGTACAATGGAACTGGAAGATGTAAGAGCTATCGACCCAACCTTGGCTGTGTTCATGGATTACGTAAGTGTTCGTCCTACTTCGGGCCTGGTCATAGATAATGCTGTATACTATTTCTACTTGAATTTCATTTGAATGATTATACAAAAGACAGATATTTTTATGTTAATGTAGATTTGGTCGAACATTTCAATCAGTGTAGTATATGGCAATGTTATCGTATCGTAACAGGTGATGGCGGTGGTGGAAGAGATGGAGCTGAGGAACCAGAAGAAATTAGATCTGACTGTTCCTCGAACAACGAGAGAGAAGATTGAAAGGAGCAAAAAGGTCATTGCTCTTCTGACAGCAACGCAGCCAAAAGTTGGTAGGTCATGTTCTGTCTGAGGTGTTAAATGACACTTACTGAAAGTGTAGAAGTACTTGGCAAATTTAACATGGACTCGTAATTTCTGCTTTCCTGTGATATGCTTCAATAAAAGATCTAACAGTGGGTGTAATGTCAAGGTGAGTAGAGGAGGGGAAATCTTAGTTCTTAGAGTGGGTTCCGGGAGAAAAAAACTGACCAATTACAGACTGATATGCTCGTTGAATGTTACAAAGGAGCGACACCAACCTTCAAAGCCAGTACGACATACTGTTATGCGACCTTGAAATTCGTTTGATGAACATTAAAGGATCAAACTCATCTTCTCGTCTTGCCCACATGGAGTTGCACAGTTGACCATTCATTTTGTGAAGAAATTTGATTGTAACCCTAACAGTATCGAGAATGGGTTTCGTGCAGTTAAGCTGAAATACGACTTTTTCTTGTATTAATGTCCTGCCTCATTTCTAGTATCAATATCAATGCCCTGCCTCATTTCTAGTATCAATGTCCTGCCTCATTTCTAGTATCAGTGCCCTGTCTCGTTTCTATTATCAATGCCCTGCCTCATTTCTAGTATCAATGCCGTGTCTAATTTCCAATATTAATGTCCTGCCTCATTTCTAATATCAATGCTCTGCCTCATTTCTAGTATCAATGCCCTGCCTCATTTCTAGTATCAATGTCCTGCCTCATTCCCAGTATCAATACTCTGCCTCATTTCTGGTATCAATGCCCTGCCTCATTTCTAGTATCAATGCAATGCCTCATTTCTAGTATCAATGCAATTCCCTGCCTCATTTCTAGTATCAATGCCCTGCCTCATTTCTAGTATCAATGCCCTGTCTCGTTTCTAGTATCAATACCCTGACCCATTTCTATCCTCATCTTTAGTATCAATGCCCTGTCTCATTCCTAGCATCATTTCTAGTATCAATGCCCTGCCTCATTTCTCGTATTGATTGATGCCTTGCCTAATTTCTGTGCCGAATTGGTTTGAAAGCAGTCCTGTGCTTTTCTATGGGTCGAGTGGCTATTCTCATTGTCAGTGTAAAGTTATCATAGCTACAGTAATTTGGTGTTTAGCAACGTTGTTTTTACTTGAGAACTCGAACCTAGGCTTACACAAATATACATATTAGACTTGCTATATACGTCGATAATTTGATTTGAAATTGTATCTTTCTATATAGAATAACCTACCAATATGTAAAACTCGACAGAACGTTAGGATAACTATACGAGGACATAACTAGGAAGAAATCAAATGTGTGATTGTCTTTTCTCTTTTCACAGAACCTGAAGAGGAATTTGAGGAATATGATTTCTTTTAAAGCTTCCAGATTTAAAATAAGCACCTGACCTATGACGTCATCAGATGCCCGAACTCTTGGATATCATGTTGCTTTAAGATAAAATGCAGTTTGGCGGTAAACAGTTTCTGATATACCAATAGCAGTGTCTTCGGAGGGTTCTTGGATTTTCTCTGAAATATATGTGAGATATTTTGGCATACTATGGTTTTCTCACCTGAAACGTGACAGCTGGTTTGGTATACACGGAACTGTTTCTTGATAATCTGGACTGTCCAGAAGTTCCTCCAGAATCTCTAATATGTGTTTTTTCTGTTATTGTCGAACATTGAACTAATTCAATTTCGTTTTAATAGATTTTGTGTATTTTATGCAGAGAAGCATCAGAAAATACCAACATGGCAACATAATCATAATTCAAATTCAAATTCAAATTCCATAAAACTAGGACAAACTATGAACAAAATAAAGAATTAAACGGAGATTTCGGAAAAAGAACATTGAGAATAAGTTAATTTTCGTAAAAGTGCCTGATATAATGCAAAATATGTCCCTCAGTCCATCCCCCTTCCTAACAAATAGAAAAAGCAATGACACGTGATTTCGAAAAGGTCATATGCGAGTATATATTGCTTTCATGTCCTTGTGGACTCGAGATTACCAAATATGGAGAGAATTGAAGGGAAATGATTTATTTTCTATTCAGTCAGATTTTATCGGGTTTTAATTGTCAGTGTCTTGTTAGAATTGATCATATGTCCCAATATCTTTATTGTAGTTTTTACCCGTTGTTTAAACATTCGTTAACATGTAAATTTACTGTCATGAAAAAGAGAGCGGGTTTCTCTTTATTCGACAAATCATTGTGTCCCCTTTGTCATGATTTCCTGGTTATCAGGAGTAATTCTAAAACGACGGATACGGTTTATCCAGAGATATTTCTCACGGCTAGCTTTTAAGAGATTGTTTTTATTAAAACATATAATTGAAATGTCAATTATCATACTTTAATGTGCTGCAGCGTAACATTCTTAACATTATTCATCAATTTCCCTATTATGTTTACAAGAGGAAGTCAGCTGGTAAGTCACCCTCAAAAATATTATTATACACTCTTTGACTAGGTCAAGGTCAAGGTCAAGGTCATTGCTCAGTCGGAGATTTGACGTCAGTGAACACCCATATACGATTGGTGTGTAAAAATGGTTGGTCAGCTCGTGGGGGAAAAGAAAAATAATTAAAACAATTACGCGATGAAGGGATCCTCGTGTACGATAAATTGAAATCCTCACTCTGATTATCTCCCTTGGTGTATTATTGAGTTGAATGATCCAAATTTAGCATTATGTCACGGAATCAAGTTCTTTATTTTTTATTATGGATTGGCGAATAAAAGTATGAATAATGAACAATGTCTAGATAGAGTTAATGTTGTTGTCTTTTATATGTAAGTAATGGTGAGCAAATCAAGTTCCATCCTTGATACTACAGAAGTTACGATCACTGCACACCTGGTACAGTTGATGGCAAAATTGAAGGCAAGAGCGAAGTAATTTGATTGGCTTAGAGCAGGTCTCGGGGGGGGGGGGGGACCCAAACCAATCACATGCTGATATTATCCTTTGGCGACCTCGGATCAAACTTGTGGCACATCCACAAGTGAAGAGAGCAAAAGTGATCGTAACCTCTGGAGTGTCGCGGATGAACACTACTGCGGTCGATGTAGGTTTTATGTAAATTTTATCGCTATGCCACACAAAGGGAAGTTACTCTGGGGGATTAGAATGATTTTATATATCAAGAAATTGCAAGAATCTTTTGGTATTCAAATCTACAAAGGAACAAAGCAACGAAAATAATTGCGAAGACACTTTATTTCAAAGCAACGAAAATAATTGCGATGACACTTTATTTTCAAAAGTACTTTATACGAATTACAAATCTAATTAGTAATCAAACTCATTAATTATACTAACAGCAATACTCTTAATATCTTTCATCCGTGAAACTTCACCAGATCTACAAATGCAAGCTATGATATACTGTAACATGTGTGTACGGACCTACCAACGTTTATAGAAGTTCAATTCTTCCATGTTGAAAAATGTCGGCTTCTTAATTTAAGATGTTCAACAACTTCATCACAAAGTTTTATTAATCGTTGATAAAACCATGTCGTCCACAAACCACCGTTTTTTATTATGTTATTATGATATTATGGTCACAAGAGGAAGGATTCAAACACATTTCGACTAAGGTGCTTATTGAATAAACCATTTCATAAAATCCTGAATCTTAATTCAAAAGTGAAAAAAAATAACAGCACGTGTATTCTTAGTTAGTTCGTTCGTGATCGTGTACACTTTGTAATGTCTAGTGATTCAGACCAAAATATTGATGTAAGTTTATTCCAGGCCTTATTATCACATACAATGTATGTAGCCGCAATCTTGGATCATAGAAAAGGTCATTTATTTTGAGAACACGATAACACTCACAAAGGTTTCTATATATATGTATATATATATATTAATGAACTCAACAAATAACTAAACATATTATATATATATATATATATATATATATATATATATATGTGTGTGTGTGTGTGTGACATAATGGTTAAGAAGTGTACCTAATTGTATCATTTTATAATTTCAAGTATTTTATAAATGAAAACAATGTACGTTTGAATTTTTATAACAACAATATAGACACGAGATCTTAAATTGCCAACAAAAATATGTAACTTGATTTTTAGTCATTTTGAATTTTCTTTTCCTTTTGACAAACCTCTTAATTCTTTGTCGCCTGTGTGTACAAGCATTTGATGAAGTTTCAAAATATATCGCTAATCCTTCAGTTATGTGAACAAATACATACACACACGAATCTATTGAAATAATCTACCAAATCAAACTTTATATAATTCTCTTGTAAACTGATAGAAATCAACCAGAATGTAATTTTCCTGTTGACACAATGTAATCAAAATCACATTATTTATCATTTTTGATCGGTTTTGATCTCAATCAGAATTTCAAAAAAGAAAAAAAAATTAACAAATGACTAATTTTATAGTGCCTGTGTGGTGAAATGTAAACTAGGTTACACTATTGAAGAGAACAATAAGGAAGGTGTTACAGACTGTGAACCAGAATCTAGTTGCATACGAAACTAGTAAAAAAAACTGTATGAGTAGATTTCACTACGTTGTTTAAATGAAAGTGACGAGGAGCCGAACTCGTTAAAATATGGTGGCTCCTCGTTGCCATTTCATTGCTTCATTTTATCACCTCGACAGAACGATATTTTTGTCTTCTCACACTCTCTTAATTATTGTCTTTCCACAGCAAGACTATGAAAAGACACCACAACTTGATGAGAAATAACAAAAAATTGAAACGTGCTATTTAACGCCTTTTCCTTGTGAAAAACAATTATCTTTGTCCTGTCACAGACAAAAGACGATAATTTGTGGTTCGAAGTCTATCCTTATGTGCAAATTAAAAAAAATGAGGTAATTTATCTGCCCTGCAAATTAGCAACGTCAATTGTTTCCTTATTTCAAGATAAATCTTGGCACATTTTTGTTTTGTTACTAAGAAAAGATGATAATTCTTGTAGGCACAACGACAAAGTTTGTCCTTCTGTCGGAGCGCCAAAATAAATCAACAAAATGGCAGTATATCTAGATATCATATGTTTATATAAAAACTACAGTGAAGCAGTTGATTTCACAAGCTTTTATTTAAATGATTAACTTAAAAAGTGGAAACGCATCACTAAAAAGGGGAGAGCGCTGCATGAAAGAAAGCAGATGTATATCTTTATTCCATACTTCTGAACACTTTTTGATTTAAAACATATATGGAAACCAGCCAAAGACGTAAGATTATGTTAACTTTATCAGCATTTCTTTACACATGATGTGAAATATTTAAATTACATGCATATTAACACAGCGACCTCATTTTATATAAGGTGTAAACTATTTCAAACTTAGTACTTGATATTAATCATGACCTCATTTTGTAAATCAAAACCAAGTTTATGCATTAGTCCAGCAATTTTAGTCTAAAAACACCCTAGCTTCAAATTAACTGTAGCATATTTCATTTAATTTTTAAAAATTTTTCCTTATTGCTATCAATATTATAACAGGAAAACTTGTTAGTAACTGAGGTTTTGTCTGAGAGATAAAACTTTTTTTTAATATGTATTTTCTAACAGAAGTTCCAAATGTTGTTCCTTACGATCTGAAACTTTAAAATCTCCTCTGAAGAAATTAAGCTGGATATGATGTTGACACAAAGTAACAAAATGATATTATCCTTTAAATATGCTAAAATGAAAGCGATATGATATTATGAATTCATCAATGGTAACAATATCAAAATATGCATTGTACATATTCAAAGACGAAAATACAGTTTTCAAAAACTTTTCTCTAACTGCCAATTTACTGTAAAGTCCTTAATTTTTGTGGAAGATTTATTTTCATTGATTTTGTGAATACTCTCAATCCACGAATTCACACACACAGAAAGCATTATTAGTTTATTTATCAACCTTATCTAGGAAATCATGTTTCCAGAAAATAGGGATTTTTAATAAACCACGAAAATTGAACTCCATGAAAAATGTATGATTGCATAGTATCGGGCTAGCTGATGAAAGTCTGATCAAACTGTATGAAGCTGAAATAGATCTAGATTAACTGATATATATTGCCATTATGAGTATATCATATCAAGAAATGTTGCTTTCCTGTACAATCAAATTCATGTATCACACTATTCCAAAATGACTTGGTATCAAATGAATAAATTTCTAAGAGAAAGAAACTGGTTTAATGAGAATTAAACTTGCTCATTATATTAAATCGTAATGATACACATTGAAAATAAGTGCAAACTATGAAGTGAATATACAAGAACAAGGGCCGTCAGAGACAGGTTATGCTCCCCAAATGGGACAAAATTTAAGTATGAAAAACAACAAAGGGCAATGAGAAATTT